ACTGATAGGTCTCAATTCCGTCATCCTATTTGGTCTTACTGCTTTGGGTATAAGACAAATATTAGTCATATTGAGCCTATTATCAAACTCTCCTAACGTAATAAAATTGTTAACCATAGATACCACTTCCTCCTTAATTATTTACCAAGACTGTTGATAAAATAAGGTTGCCATTCCATCGGGTCCTGCCGCTTTCTCTGGATGCATCATAAATAATGATGCTCTCACCTCTTCTTCCGATGCCTTGGCCATTAGCCTGATATTTTGTGCTTCTGTAATCAACATAGAAACTTCCTCTAAAAAACCATCAAACTCCGATGAGGAAGTGGTCTGAATGAGGTCTGTAAAGTTTTAACTGCCACTTCTTCGACCTCTGATTCAGAACTAACTCAGTTTCCACCCTCGCTATACAAGCCTAAGATCCTATTCTGGATGCGTTTTTGCTTAGTTAACGAATGATAGAATTTAGTATTTCAGTCACCACATGTATGCCATTTAATCCTACTCTTTTGCTCCTAGTATTGTTCCTCATCCTTATACGCATCTTGTAATTTTCGTGAGACCTCCACTACTTCTTCATTTGATTTTGAGAAATCGTTATGAATTTCCTCAAGAGCCTTCTGAGGATTATTAATTTTTTTCCTTCCCATATGAAGGGCTTGCCTTTCTCCAGAAGGAAATCTCATGTCTGCAGGAATGAATTCGATCTACTATTCCTCCATTTCCCCTATTTCCCCCACTTCCATTTTTAGTTCCCATATTCCACCCTCTCTTGATTGACTCCATGAGCCCCTCTTCACCTATCCATCGTTTATCAAACCGAAACTGCCTACGACTTTTAACGAGTTTATCTTCAATTGAAGCCACTATCCGTCTGTGATCTGAGCCAATCATACCCAAGTACTCCACAAATGAGCATGGAAATAGAGTATGCCAATTGTTGTTCTCTAGTGCCCGATCTGACAGACACTTAACCACTTGTTTTTTTCCTCCTTCCACTACATGATAAGGTATGACTTATTCTTGGGTTCACCCCCTAGGGTGAACCTCTAGGTTCACCAACCAATAGTATGGTGTTATTTCATATTTGATATCTTTTAAAAAAGAAAACAAAATCTTGTCAATTTATATTATGTTTTAAAAATAAAAAAATATTAATATTTACAAAAAACGAAAAAAAATCTTTAAAAAAATATCTTAACATTATATTGTGTTTTAAAATAAAAGATAAAAATAAAATAAAAACAATAATAATTGAAAAAAACAATTTAAAACAAAAAACAATTTAATATATCTTTAAAATAAAAACATGTGTTTAAAATAAAAAGATAAAAATAAATAAAAAATAGTATAATTGTTAGTATTAATTTACCCAAGGGTTAAGATTTTTCCAAAGGGTTTATGATTTACCCAAGGGTTTAGGGTTTAGGATTAGGGTTTAGGGTTTAGTATTAGGGTTTAGGGTTTAGGATTAGAGTTTAGGGTTTAGTGTTTTAGTGTTAAATATTTTTTAAAAAAAGTTTTTTTCGTTTTTTTAATATTATTATTTTTTATTTATTTTTTGTATTTTTATTTTAAAAATATAATATATTTAACAAGATTTTATTTCCTTTTAAAAAAGATATCAAATATAAAATAACACCATCCTATTGGTTGGTGAACCTAGAGGTTCACCCTAGGGGGTGAACCTAAGAATAACTCATAAGGTATTACCTAGACAAGGAAACTCCATCAAACCACAATTTTCTATAATAAATTTATCATTAATGTTCTTTTTTCTTTCATTAAATAAAATTACGGAATTGCATAATGTGACTAAAATATATATGATAATTAATGGTTTTGAATAATAAAAATTAGTGTATCCTCTATCATATTTGCTTAATTTTAAATTAGCGAAATAAATTAAACAACTATATTTTCCATAAAAATAAAAAATTAGATTTTCTGTCTATGTTATATTTTGAATTTTTGAAACAACTATAAATTATTAATTTATAAATTGCTAAAAATATTAATACCACAGTAAAATTTTGTTATCAGTGATTGCATTTTTTTGGTTATAAACACAAATGATCAAAAAAATCATATGAATGAAAAGCATCATTTTGTATATATCAATACAAAAAATACATAATATATACGTTACTATCATTTAAATTTAATTGTGTACCACATAAAAAATTATTTGTATTACTTAAATTTATTTCTGTTTTCACACCAATTTAATTATTGACGTAATAGTTACTGATTTTGAATGATTCAATATACAGTTATTATCTTATAACCTATAAAATGATATAACACATATAAATAGTAAATAAATATAATGTTCATTCCGAGCAAGGCGCGGATCTTAATCTATTATACTAATAATTCTAAAAATTTGTAATATATGAATAAACCTAAAACCAATATTAACTGTATGAACTATTGGACTCAGAAAATAATACAAAATAATTAAAAGAAGATAATACAGCACTATCATCAAAATAAAATAATGTATTATCTTCATTTATATATTTGTAATAAACAATATAAATCTCATTTCTAATATGATAATATACACTAAAACAAACAAGAATATTATAACAAAATCTGTAGAAATATTTTTTATTAACCAACTATGGTTAAACACCATAGAAATAAGGGTGTAAAAAGAAAAAAAAATTAACCCGCGTGATGACGCGGCTGATAATCTAGTTCCAACTTAAAAATTTTATTTACTAGTTGCATACTCCCCGCGCAAGCGCGGGCCCGGAATCATTATGTTTGCGTATATTTTTCGATTTAGTGGTTTAGTGGATTCTTCTAATGACACCAAATATTAATAAAATGGAAAGAATGTAGTAAGAGTGTAAAGTGAAAATATTGTATATCTAATGTGTTAAATGTTATTTATATGTGAAGTAAGGTTTATAGGAACAT